AGCGATCTTATAGCGGAAGGGAAAAAACTATTCTTTCCAGATGGAATATCCAGCGCCGGCAATGAGATTGAAATGGTGTTTGATATCGCMAGCTTTAAGGGTGAGAATTTGAATGATGCCATCACAGTGGATGAGTACGTAGAAAAGAACAAACTGACAAAAACTCGACTTTACTTGACATCAAAGAAAAAGGAAACCGACACAAGTAATGACGTGGGAGACGAAGGATTTAAACTGCAGAGAGATAATCAAGGACCAGCCAGAGTCGAGAAATTGACCGCCTCTTGTCAAAGTGCAGTGTTGGATTTGACGAATGTCGACAGTGATGATGATGATAGAAAAGAAGCTCAATCATCTAGGAAACGAAAAAAAATAATTCAAGACAAGGGTAGACTGTGGAGGATGAAATATGCTAACGTCAAAGATGATTCGTCCGAGTCCGACTCTGATAACGAGAATAAAGTGGAGAATGAAGGGCAAGAGGAAAAAAGTGTCAGTGCATTATTGGGCACATCCAAGGAACGTGAAGTCCTTAAACAACAACAAAATAAAGCATTTCAAATAAGCCTGGATGAAGATCGAAGTAAAAAAGAGGAGATGGAAAGACTTGAATCGAAGAGAGCAGAAAGAGCGTCAAGGGTGTCTCCTGAACCGGAGGTTGGTACGGAAAGAGTACGAATAGCGGTACATCACTTCACAAAGGGGAAAATTGTGCGTTTTTTTAAGAAGGAAGAACAGATGATCTCCGTATACGACTGGGTAGGTTCACAGTCACCACAACCCGAACATTTTATCCTTTGCTTAAGTCCAGGTGAGGAAATCCATCCTTATGAACCTGTGCCCCGTAGTCACACTGCATTGTACATGAAAGTAACCGACACACCTGTTGCTATATCTGGAGATGAAAGTATCTTTTTCAAAGGTTATGGTCCAGATGACGTGGATGCGTCGTGTCTAGATGACACTCTTCTCAATTTCCTGGATCCATCTCAAGGGTAAATAACTATAATATTCGGTAAATGTCTCATACAGCTTACTGGTTTCTATTAATTTAAGATATATCCTCCTGTTGACGGACGGCCACACATCAGAAGGAACTGACTTAGTTGTTTGTGTACAACGTGTGCATCTTTTCAGTTAAAGTACAGCTGAGTTGGCTTTCCTGTTTTGATTAGCTAAGCTTTTATTCAGATCTCTATCTGCTATTTATCCTATTTAGCAAAAGTGCTTTAGATTTAAAGTGCGGGTATACGATAAATATCGAAGATTTTGCTTATACCATAACTAAGGAATTTTACATTTTAGCGATGAAGAGAACATCTTTAAATTTGCCATTATTTTAGTGGATTTTCGATCCGCATTGATCGGCGGACAGGAAAAAGCGCGGACGTTCAAAGCTCGATTTTTTCCGGCATTGAAAAAAGCTTACATAAATTTGTTTGGATCTGCATAAAGAGGTATATGTACAAAAACAGCTCAAATGCGATGTTCGGTTTTCATCGTGCCCGGACGTTTAACTATAATTACAAAATGAATGCGGAATTGTCTTTATTTATTAGTTTATCTTCTTTTTAGATTGACTGCCTCAATTGAGCTAGAAGCAAAACGAGCAGATGCTTTTGAGGCACTAGAAGAGAATACGGCGACCGTATATGTAAGCAAAGACAACATTGTTAAAGATTTAATGTCAGCCTACATCGATGAGAACATTATAAAGAAGAAAGTCAATGCTGTCATAGATTCAGGGGATGCATGCGGAGACGGTACGTACATAAGTAATAAGTAATAGAATGGATAGCACGAGAGTTATTAAAAATCTTAATAACAATGTTTTCCTCACATTCCAATTAACGCTAAACAGTGAATGATGCTTCTGGCATGTCTTATTTACAACGGTTGACATCATCGAATCGACCAAAATTGCTGCTCATCTACGAGACGAAGTCGATTGACAAAAGGTTGTCGTCGACCGGGTTTCACGAAACGCAACTAGTTCGAACTGGTTTCTGGGTAAAAATCAATGAACTGGCAAATTAGATCAGATTTGAACGCCTTTGTGATTGGAAGAACTGACACAAACTGTAATGCGTGACCAAATCATGGGAATTCAATTGTGCATGTTGATTTTGTATCACACATAGTTTTCCATCATTKCGAAATCATTGCGGGGAATACAACGCTCAATGTTTGTCTTCGAGTTTGTCTTAAAAAATAGAATAAAAGCAAAAAACAAAACAAAAAACAAAACAAATAGTCAACTTTAGATATTTTGGTTCGATGACTGTGTACAACAAAAGAACGCACACGAAGCTCCGAGAAAACAATGAATAATCTTGATTTATTCTTTTATTTCCCTTGAGTCTCGTCTGCAATTCTTTTGTGCATGGCACTATACTAGAAGCTGTTTGCCTAATTTTCCTGTTTATTGATTTTTACCCAGAAACCAGTTCGGGTGGGTCGCGTGCTAGGAAGTCCAGTCGACGACAACATTTTGTCAATCGAGTATAATTGTATGAAAGCTCTCACCTCCTTTCGTCAACAAACACCTTTTTTCCACTATAATGCCATAATTCTTTCTTTTTTCTATCAACTAATATTGTAAATATTTTATCAAATGGTGAGCATAAATAAATTCAAATTAAATTGAATTACCTTCAGCAAGTATAACGTGCCCCGTACCTTCGGCCTCGGGGACTAATTACACTTGCATCTCGGAAATCACAAAAAATCGAATTCAATAATTGTCTTATTACTCGGCCCCAGGCTTTAGGCCGGTAGCTTTTTAGTAATTATTTGATCTTCAGCCACGCCCTTTTTTCAAGACTTCTAGGATCTTTTAGGGGTATTTTTGAAAATTTCTGACGAGCATGCCCCCCCCCCCGGGATTTGATCTGGAAAATATAATGTATGTTATTTCACAATCGCTCAAAGATAATTATTGTATTAACATAAATGAATTTTAATTTATTAATATTAAAAGTTAGTAGAATGTACAATTAATAATATTTTTGCATTTCTCTTTAGGTGTTGTACATGAAATGTATTCTTTGTTTTGGGATGGATTCCTCAGAGAGTTCAAAACCGAAGGAAATACGCAATTTGCCATTCCAGTAGACCCCAATCTAAGTCCAGAAGATTACATCATTGTAGGAAGAATCATTACACACCAATTCATCCAGTGTGGAACATTTCCAGTGAGACTAGCAAAAGCATCAGTCATCCAAATGTTATTTGGAGCTGTCGATGATGACTGTTTGGTCGACTCCTTCCTAAAAATGTTCCCWCCGAAAGAAAGAAATACTCTACAGACAGCACTTTCAGGGCATGATGACGCATTTCCAGCACTAACATTACTGGATATACTGGAAGACTATGGAATTAAAGATATTCCTTCACCAAAGAACATCAAATCTCTGCTTCTTGGAATTGCAAACACAGAACTTGTAGCGAAGCCTTATTTCTGTCTGCAGAAGCTAAAGGAAGGAATGGGAACATTCTGGCAAGAAGTCACAAGCGAAGAGATAGGGTTATTGTACGACGTTTCTCATCCTACAGCAGAACGTGTGATCGCCTCGTTGGTCCTAATCCCTCAAGACGAAAAAGAGCAGCAAATATACCGTTGGTTGCAACGCTATTTGTCATGCTCCAGCGAAGAAATCATAGTAAATTTTCTGAGATTCTGCACGGCGATGGATRTCATACTGCSTMATGTTTCAATCGCTGTKGACGTGGAACTTATGATGCCTGGAGTGTTTGTGCGACCAAAGGCTTTCACATGTTTTAAGAAGTTGATCCTCCCTCGTAACTATCAGTCTTTCTATGAGATGCGTAACAATTTGGACAAGTACCTTCGCGATCCATTGCTGTGGGACCTGGCCGACTAGATTGTTACAAGTCATGTAGTTCAACGCGCGTATTGCAACTTTAAAGAATAGAGACAAAGCCTTTTGCCTTTTTACATGTTTTTAGTTGTGTTCAAGTTTGAGATCATACTCGGAGCTCCAGCTCTGGCTTTGCTAAGCATTTATCTCAAATGCTGCATGTTTTGTTCTCTAATAATTATGCTGACAGTCTAAAATAATGTTTTTAGACCTGTCGAGTTCAAATTATTATTATTAGTAGTAGTTCATGTTGTTTGCTTGAGACGTACCATCTTTAGTATTGACGCTCATTACAAAGTGATTAAACAAGTGTAAGCAAGTTACTTTATGTTTCCATAGTCAGGAAATGACGATTGATATAGACTGCCTCGATATCCGTTTCTCAGTTAATAGAAACATCGAATGTAAACATGTATTGTTTAAAATAAAGTGCTTCTATTCAAATCTGTTTCAAAGTAACGTCAAAACAACGTAGGGTCACATAGCGAACGTGCTTTGTGAGTGACTATAATGATATCCCCTGGGTAGTTCGCAAATTAACAATTTTATACGTTATAGCAGTCACATAAAAACTTAAACAGGATCTTTTCAAACTATAATCAATGGCAGAATAAGCCTCAGCGAGTAAGACTGGGAGTAATTGGTAATTACGTTAAGGTCTATGAAATTCTGCTTTTTCCCATTTCATGGATTTATATACGAAAGGAAAGGTGGTTCGTTCTTGTTTGCTCAAACCTTACTAAGTATTTCTAAGTAAAGTCAGTCTAGAATAAAAAACTCCCAGTGAAGTATCAAAATTGAAATAAGAGTCTGACTTGGTAGATAGACTGAAATAGTAGAGAGACATGAAATAAACATTTTCTTAAAAGAAACTAAATTGAACATCGGCCACGAACTTGCAACTATCACTTGAAAAAATCGTGCGCTTAAAAGGTTGTAAATTTGTTGGAAATATGTTGTAAGTGTCCAAAATGATGGAAATATGATGGAAATCATTTACATGAAATTTACATCAGTCATTTTGGAGACTTACATCGCATATACATCAAATTTACAACCGTGTGATTTTTTCCAGTGTATTGTTCTGAAACCAACCAACACGGGAACTGGGTTATTTGATTAGAGCATGTCCTTGATGTACCCAAGAAGATCAATGTACAAACGCTCAGCCTGTTCAATATTTACCGCTGGAGCATGAAGATTTTTGTCGTGTATGATTATCTGGCATAACTCTGAAAAATTGGAAGAAAAATCATCCGTTTGGATATCACAGCAAGTGTCCTTTGCTACCATTAAATCCACTGTTGTTACCTCGTGAACATATGATCTTGTGCCATTTGCTTCAGGCAAAAAATAGATTGAGTCCGGTCGCCCGTGTGGAGAATTTTCATTCGTTGAAGGGCGTATTTTATGAAGATTCCAATGTCGGGCAACACGCTGTAACTCTTCTTTAAGAAGTGGCATGTAACAAAATCGTAAGCATTCCACGTGGAAGTCGTTGCTGTTATCAAATAAACCTTGATCTTGAAGATCTTTAAAGTAATTCCTCCACCAATCGGTTTCACTTTTGCGTAGAAATGCCCACCAACATTCAATTCTCTGATTAGTCACTGAGCGGCCATAGAGAAAACTTTTATCACCACGAAATTCGTCGTATCCATTTCTTCGGAAAAAGCGCTGCATTCCAGCCACATTGACATTTTCTGTCCCTCTGTCAGCACGGCAAATATGTGAAGTCCCACCCAGCTCTTGTACATAATCATGGAAATATTTTGCAATGACACGTGGGTCGTTGTTTGAGTTTCCAACTTCAAGCCATAGAATACGACGGCTGAACCCATCGATCGCCCCATGTATACAAAATCCAAATGGTTTGAGTTTGTCATAGCCGTCTATATGCCACAAATAGTTAGGACCCTTGGAACGGTACTCTCTTCTTTTTAACTTATTACGCGACCGTTTGACTACACCCTCGGGATCGAGTGTTTTTAATATCACACGGACAGTTTCTCTGCTTACCACTAATCCATAATCAACTCTTAATCTCTGGTGCATTAGACGATAGCCCAGCAATTTTCCACCTGTCCTCAGCTCTCTCTCTACTACATCTATAACCTCATGAGGATCGCTGTAGGAAATACGTCTTCTAAGTCCTTTCTTGAAAAGAATTCGCTTCAATTGACGAAGGCTGAGTTGAATTCCATGCACGAGGGAAAGAAATCCAAGTATTTCTATATAATTAAAACCCAAATTGAAGTATTCGTGAACAAGATCATCTCTGTTCAAATTTCTGTCTTCCAAAGCAGGAATATACGAAAAGACACATTCAACTCTTCCCCAAAATAATAACAGTAAACAATATAGGAATTTGTTAGCCATTTCTCAACGATACCGAGCTAACATAGCACGCTCTGTCAAGAGACAATACTTACACTTTAGTCACGGGATCCCTGTTTGTATTAAATCGATAACTGTCGATCCGGCCAGTAAAATGTCGACGGACAGTTATAAGTGTCCGTCGCCAGTTATAATTGTCTATCGCCAGTTATAAGTGTCGATCGCCAGTTATAAGTGTCGATCGCCAGTTATAAGTGTCGATCGCCAGTTATAAGTGTCGATCGCCAGTTGTAAGTGTCTATCGTCAGTTATAAGTGTCGATCGCCAGTTATAAGTGTCGATTGCCTGTTATAAGTGTCGATTGCCAGTTGTAAGTGTCTGTCGCCAGTTATAAGTGTCGATCGCAAGTTATAAGTGTCGATTGCCTGTTATAAGTGTCGATTGCCAGTTATAAGTGTCGATCGCCAGTTATAAGTGTCTATCGCCAGTTATAAGTGTCGATCGCCAGTTGTAAGTGTCTATCGCGAGTAATAAGTCTCTACTGACCATAATAAAGTGAACCTTTATTATAAATTAGTCACAAATGAGTCTACTTTCAAAAAAGAGGAAATCCATGGCCCTTACCAGCCACCGTATATATGAGCTCGAAATTGGATTCAAAAGAAATTGTGTCTTTCCTTTTTGTTTTTCCAGTATTACGAATCCTCTTTTCTCTGCAGAACCCGGAAAAAGCTGACCGCTATTATTGCGCTCACTCAGTGATTGAAAGCAAAGTTGATTGTCCAAAGGTACACACGCAAAAAAAAAAACAGGAATTTGCTATAAATTTAACTAACTATTTCAGTTCTCTGTTCAAAAACCTAAGTTCATATTGTTAATGTATTAATGTACTAAAAGCAAGCTAAAGGTTTCATTATTATTTTACAGTTTCAATGAGTAAAATCGACGACGTTTTTACCTTGACGTAATCGTGATTCTAGAACTTTTATCCTATAAAATAAGACAAACTTTCTTTAACAATTAACTGGCATCGGATTTATATTAGATAAGGGGGAAGTAAACAAAAATGTTAAAATAATATACACTCTTCAAAATGAGTCATTATCCGCGATAGATATTGAAACTGCTTACAACAAATCGAACAAAAAGTCAAGTTTGATATCTTATATTATGACTGATATGAATTTTATCATAGTTTATACTATTTTAATGAAGTAAGTTTCTCTTTCTTAATAATTTTAATACCTTTCATTCAAAGCTTTCACAACATCGCTCAGTGCCTTTAAGTCTTTGTTTGTCTTGTTCAAGGTGCCTCGTTTTACCACACCGTTGTGCTCGTCATCTCTACCGTCAACACCCAAAAACATGGCGAATATCACCATGAGAAAGACGGCTTTAAACAGCATTTTATCAACAGAAAACGTTCACTTATAATTCTACCAAGAATAATTTCAGCACTTGGATAGATTGTTATTAGAACTACCAATGCGGAAAAGTTGTACAGTTGAAGTGATGTCAGCCCACAGGGACCAAACGMGAAAATTCGTGAAAATCAAACTGTTATGATAGTCAATCATAATAGAACAATACACATATTAATTCAGTTCTATGCCTTGCGTTTTTTAATTATTGTATCCATGATTGTGTAAATTATATCGTCTTCTTTATTTTTAAAATTAAGTTTGAATTATAGAAAGGCAGATTAATCTCGACCGAAAAATATATTGTATTGCAATACACATGCCTACTTCCAGACATTTTTAGCTTTTTAGTTGTTTTTGAAAGTATCATTTTGATTACATTATAATCTATAAGTCAGTGTGAAACTATAAATTGACAATGGATAAATAAATTATTATCATTGTGTACACTCTTTAGACTAAAAGAAAGATACAAGAGTTCAGTTTGTACTAGTCTTTCATAATAATAATTGTCATTCCCACCAAAGAAGTCGTGCTTATTTAATTCAATGTGATAGAAGACAACAAGACAAAACAATAAACAAAAGACTAGTCAGTCAAACTAAAAAAAACCCGATAATATGATGTTTTGATAACCAACCCTTTTTATATATTATATATACTGTCGTAATAGTTAATATTCCGGTATTATTTTAGATTTCAAAAGAACGGCATTTGAAATTAAATGAACCCATAATAGACAGAAAAATAAAGATTAACTTTACTAATAACTAATGAGGAAAACCCTGCTGATAAATATCATGCATGAAATATAAAATACCCAAAAACTTGAACAAAAAGCATAGTCGTTATCTTCTCTATACTTAAGATTCTTAATTTAAGAGTAACAGCTCCGGTTTACGTCCGACAAAAGGATTTTATTTTCCGAGCTTTCGGATCAATCAATCAAAACCAACTCATGCATAATTAGTCTTTCCCAAGACGTCTCCAGCAGTCTTCATTGAATATATTCAAAACACGACCCCAGTTTTGGATTCAATGGTGTCTCTTCGAAAAATTAAAGACATGTACCAAGTGCTAAGAGTGTAATTTCTTGCTGTGTATAGTTCTGTTGCCATTTCTTGAATTGTCGGTGACTATGACGACTGTGTGTAGGGAGTTACAAAGAGTATGGTTTATATTTTATTTCAGTATTCTTCCAAAAAGAATGCAAAAGGAATGAAATTGAGATGAAAATTAAAGAGGTTTTTCATTTAACAAAAGTTCTTTCTGTCATACATCTTGGAGCTGGGATAAAACCACGAGAAAAAACGCTGGCAACAATAAATGCAAGCTCACCCACAGGAATCCCACAATTTCAATTTTCGTCGCACAAATAGACAATATACGTTTGTGACAGAAAGCATGATGGGAGTTTTAGTCCTCGCACTTTTTAATGTCAACAAAAACATTCCCCCCGTGGGCGAATTATTTTTTTCTTTGAAAAAAACATAGGACTAGTTGTGCCGGTTTGAGGCAAAGAAAATATACAAACGGCTTTGGAGAGATTTTTTAGGGCTAATTGTTTTGCAAAAAATATTTTTGTGTGGAAAAAGTTGAACATTGCTTATTCTCGTTTGTCAGTYGTAATTCTCAATCACAGCAACCTGTCATTTTCAGTCAATCAGCCTGATTTATCTTTTTTGATAAATCTCTCTTGTTCTTCTTGTAATAACTAGATAATGTCAGTACATGATACATACAAAGCATCCATAACTCGAAACAGAATAATAGTTATAATACCTTAAATGAGCAAGTTCTTTAATTATCTTTTACGTTTATACATACTCATTAGTTTTATATTGACGATTTTAACCAATTGAATGTACCATTTGACACACTGCGCATGTCACTACTTGGTACACACTGCGCATGTCAGTTCCCGTCCTTCTACGTAAGGAAGACAAGGCAGAGAGCCACACCTTCCTTGGACACCATACAACAACGCGCCGTCACGGTTATGAATGGTTCCTTTGACAGGCTCTGCATTTTGATCAACGCAAATGAATTTTTTTTGGTTTGCGTGTCCGTGATGCTCCGACATGATATATCCCCAGTACTCTTTGGACCATCCCGCGGGACACTCGTAAGTTGCCGGGATCATGAGTTTAGTGTTGCGGTTTGGAACAAAGCATACAGCACAAGGGACATCGTGATTGTAAAGGTTTTTGTTGTTGAATGGATTGGGATGATCGGCGGAGCGAGCCTGGTACTCTGCACCATACATGAATGCTGAATACTTTTCAAGGACATTTGTATAGCTCCAGTACTTAGGAGACTCAGTCAGACATACATAGTTGGAACCTCCACCTGGGTGGCCGAACCACTCTCCTCCTACACGACCTGAATGGAAAAATTGCAATAAGACAATTTCCAATGAATTCTGCATATTTGCATGATACCAAGAAAGAAAGGAGTTAAACGAGATTTTGTGAGTAAATGAGGCATCTTAATGAGGTCTATTAAAACATTAAGTGAAAGTGAGTATGCGATGCGATGCGACTTATCGCGCGCGACTTGAAGTGCAAGTTAGAATGGTACCGTGTACCTTTTGAACCGCTTAAGCTTTTTAAAATATCCTACGACAAGTTGTAGGGATGACACATTCGTTTCAAGTCGCTCGATAAGTCCCATCGTGTAAATCAGCATTATATAGATAGCATGATTTCATTCTCAAGTTACCTTTGTAGACGAGTTTAGCACCAGAAGGGCACGAGATTTTCCCCCAGCGTATGTACTGAACACCACCACTTTTAGGACCAGGATGGCCCCTTAGTCCCTGAACACCACGTGGATCTCTTTTTCCAGTACTCCCTGAAGAATAAAACAATAAAATCAGAGGAGTATCCAGGGGCGTACAAAGATGCACCGGACACTCTCCCACCATTTATAATACAACGGTTCCCACAGTATATTGCTCTAGTAGATTCGCACGCTTTCTCCTGAGGTATCGCATGTTCTTTATAAAAGTATTACAAGATACAAGATATTTTATTATTGCCTCTGTGTAAATGGTATTTACATTAGAGTTTATATGCAATAACATATTTTATGATTGTATATATTATTAATGACATGTTCCAGTAACCTTTTTTCTTATTTCAAAGCATTCATAAATGTGTTTTGCGATTATTTTTTGTAACAATTTATTTGAAATTGGATTTATCATATAGTGAAACTTTTCGTCTTCAGTAAGAAACTCGATATTTTTCHTTGTAWTAWTATTTATCTTTTCAAATATTTCTTTTCTCTTTGTGGAGAAAATGGAACATCTGAGAAGAAAATGTTTCTCATCTTCGCTTTCATTTTTGCAGAGAGGACATATTCTCTCTTCTGGTTTGACATATGGGCGTGAATACCTCCCTCTTTCAATTTCTAAAGAATGATTACTAATTCTAAGTTTAGTAAGTGCTATTCTATGTTTGATACTGCTGACTTCTTTGAAATAACTTTCCTATTGGTAGTTTTTTTTTAAAGTTCTATAAGTTCTAAGTTTGTTTCTTTGAGTGTCTTTTCTACCCATATCATCATGAATTTCCCCAAACCAAGTTTGTATTACAATGTCCTCTAATCTCTGTTTTATTTGTTTTGCTAGTATTTTCCCTTTCGTTTTGTCAAAATTTTGTTGTCATACAAAGCTGTAGCCTAATTTGTTTAAAATTTGTTTGACTTTCCCGCTCCAGCTACATGAATCTGGAGTRTTGTCAACAGCACAGTCTTGTAACGTTAGGTATGATAACTTTATTTTATCAGCAATAACGAAATTAATCCAAAACTTTATTACTCTTAATCTGGCACTTATGTCCCAGTTCTGATCATAGGCTACCCAACTGTTGCTTGAGAGAAAGAAAAGAATGAATGCGCACGCTTTTATATTATGTTATCGAATCGGCGTGCGCTGTGGGTTACCTGTGGTATTACGTCACTATCGCGCGCCTCGCGGGATACAAACTAGTCTGTGACAAGGTATGAAACACTGGTCACGTGACAAATATAATTTTGCTCCTTTTTCAACGAAAAACAGCAGAAAACGACGATTTTCTTTCAAATAACAACACATCGTCAGATTGTCTAACTACCTCACGATTTTCAGTATGAAATATTTATTACATGACGAGAAAATGAACATTAAGCATTTCACTCGCCGTGGACCGATGTGTGCCCCAGGTAGCTTGTCTATCCCTCCCTACCCATTTTCATTCGGATAGGCTTCGAGAGCTTTCGGAAAACATTCGTGAGTTCCTCGAGGTAAAAATGAAAGTCAAGGATAAATTAATTTTCTTAAAAAAAGGAAAAGAAAACACGCTGGAAAAATGTAATATAAACAAAAACAAATTAAAAAGTTGTAAATATGGAAACCTTTCGAGGTCTTCAAGATTCAGAAAAAAAAAACATTAGTAAAAACATGACAAATATGAGCTTAGTTATAATACAATTAAAAATCTAATCCAGTTAACAGTTCATATTGAAAAATGGAAAAATGTCGAGCGATACGACTGTTTACGAAAGCTCTCGAAGTCCATACGAAAAAAACGATAGGGAGGGATAGACAAGCTACCTGGGGCGCACATCGGTCCATCACGTGACCAGTGTTTCATACCTTGTCACAGACTAGTTTGTATCCCGCGAGGCGCGCGATAGTGACGTAATACCACAGGTAACCCACAGCGCACGCCGATTCGATAACATAATATAAAAGCGTGCGCATTCATTCTTTTCTTTCTCTCAAGCAACAGTTGGGTAGCCTATGTTCTGATCTGCACGCGTTGTTTGATGCCCGTTTATTGACTCAGTCCTAGTAACATTTTGCAAAACTTTATATGCACAGCTTCGGGGTCATTTTTGGTGTTATCTTTGATATCAGCACCCCAAACCTCACTTCCATATAATAGGATAGGTTTGATTAGAGAGTTAAATAATTTAATGGTTAAATGTGTGTCTGTCCTAAAGTGATCTCCGAGATCTCTTCTAAGCTTAAACAAAGCCTTCAACGCTATCTTCTTTAGTTCTTCCCTTGCATTGCTAAAGGTTCCAAAAGCGCTAAAGTATAGCCCTAGATATTTATAGCTTTTCACATTTTCAAGTTTAGCATTATAAAAGTACTATACATTTCAACATCTGAAACATACCCCCCCCCCCCTCCCCTAATGGCCTCTGGATCCGCCCTTTATAAACCACCTGCATGGACAACTATACCTCGTGGTCCTGGGGAGCCATGTTGACCATCTCGACCATCTCGTCCTTTATAAGAAAAAAAATGGAAAATTCGTTCATGCAGTCATTGGCATTGAATTATAGATAGAACCGCTGAAGAAGCTTTATATTCATAATTATAAAACTCATTAATATTCATAAGGCAAAACACAATAGAAATCATAGCCCATGAAGAGTGAGAGTTGTATATTACATTCTCATACTCATTAATTATTCATGAGTAATCTAGCCAATCCCTGATTGTAATTTGTACCACGTGCAGTAACTGGATACCAGAGGAAGTACTCCTACCTTGTATTCTATCTTATTTCCAGTTACTTCCACCTTGTTTCTAGTTACTTCTATCTTATTTCCAGTTACTCTTACCTTGATTCTAAAATTACTTCTAGCTTTTTCTAACTACTGCTAGCTAATGATAATCAAAGTATTAGAAATAATCAACTTAATATAGAATTAATTTAGTGAAAAAAAGTCTTTGATAAATGACTCCCTCACGAAACGATCCCGAACCGTCCAATCTATATGCGCCGTCTTATACCATTACACCACCGAGTTTCTGATGCGATTCCTTGGAAGATAACATACTTATAAAACTTATGAATTAGGCTCATTAGGTATGCCATGAAAAGCAAACAAAGACAATTTGAAAAGCTTTTGTTTCAGAAAGCCGTTCGGGAATTGGAAAACAACAAACGGTGCTTCTTTATTCAAAATTATGAAAACTGAAAACCTTGGTKRAGATGCAATRAATCAAYATATTTCTGTTATATGTATTTCCTTCGCTTTTTCCCCTCCCGAATAATTAATGAGTATGTTCGTTCGCCTCGGACTGGAACTAATTGAGCGGACTTGAAACCCCGTCCAGTCCTCATTGTCGGACTTTAAACATTACTGGGGAGACCTACGTAGCACGCAGTTGATGTAATGTATTCATAAAATGTATTGTATTCCATTGTTTTTCGTTCTATTGTATTATGTGTTTTGTATTATATCTTTATGAATATATTACGTACCTATCGGTTTAAATCCCCGGGGTCTTTTTTCGAAGATCTTGTTTATAATTACATACCTCTTGATCCTGGCAAACCGTTTTGACCATCTTTTCCTGGAATACCATTTTTACCATCTCTTCCTGGCAAACCAACTCCATCCTTACCAGGTGTACCATCCTTACCATCTTTTCCTAGTAAGAAACATAAAGCTGTTTAATGAAAGCAACTCAGTAGAGTAACAAACAAGTGAAGACATAAATGAAATACGTCTGTGTGATTGTACTGTTTTAGTATAACACAATACTCCGATTTCGATTTCTCGTTTGCTCTGTGTTAGCCTCAAAGCCAAGCAATATATTCTTTTGTTTCATTGATAGCCCAAGAAAACGCATGGAATTTGAAAAGAAAGACAATAGAATTGATTTGAAATCTCACACTTTTATTCTCACAATTAGGAATATTTGCGCGCAAATGAGGCTAACACAGAGCATTGGAGAATTCGAAACTGGATTATTCAAATTACCTGGTTTACCTGGTGCTCCGACCTTACAGCGGCCTATAAAATTGAGTCACAGATTCGCGTTAAACTCGGTCTTAAACAGTTACGTGTGGACACGAAAATATCAATGTCCGAAAAAAAATTGCATGCAAAATGTTAGATATATGTCATTGAGAAAAGAGGGTAAAGTTCTAGAATAAAGCATTTAAGCTACGTCTGGAGCCAGATGTGTGAAGGATTAATTAAGTTATAAACTACATGTAGATCTTGTGTGAGCTCAAAAATTTGGTTTTCCAGTATTACGCGAATACTCTTTTTTTCTAGAAGACCCGGATAAAGTTGACCGCAAATATCGCGTTCAGTGATTGAAAGCAAAGTTGATTGTCCAAACACACACAGACGCACAAAAAGAATTTTCTATATAATTTCACTTGAACTAACCGTTTTCTCACTAAAAAAATGCCATTACTGAATTCTTTAATATTAAAAGCACTAAAAGCAAGCCAAAGTTTTTCTCTTATTTTTTAAATTAACAGGAGAATCGTTTTTACCTTGATGTGGTCGTGATTCTAGAACTTTTATCCTAAAATAATACAAAATTTCTTTAACAATGAACTGGCAGTAGATTTAAATTAGTATTAGGGGAAAGTAAACACAATTGTTAGAATAAAATCAAAATGAGTTTTAATCCGCGATAGCTCATCGATTGTTTACAGCATATCGATCCATATCAAAGAATTGTATATCATTCGTGCGGGTTCCCTGTGCTTTTTAGTTTTGGGCTTCCTTTAGCGAATCCATGCCATATATGGAAACAAATAAAATGGCGGATTGTTTAGAAGTGTTTTCGCTATAATATCTGCAAGTTTCCGACGATTTCAAGCTTTAAAAGTCGAGAAAATCGACAAAAACCATTCCTATCGAACTTCCAAATAAGGTAAGATTACCATATATGGCTGCTAAACGAAGGATAACTTTGTGGGGGCAATTGTTTGATATGAAAAAGTCAAAAATGTTTGATATCTATATTATGACAGTTAGCAATTTTATCTCAGTTTATACTATTTTAATGAAGTAAGTTTCTCTTTCTGAACAATTTTCCTACCTTTCTTTCAAAGCTTTCACAACATCGCTCAGTGCCTTTAAGTCTTTGTTTGTCTTGTTCAAGGTGCCTCGTTTTACCACACCGTTGTGCTCGTCATCTGCACCGTCAACACCCCAAAACACGGCGATTATCACCACGATAAAGATGGCTTTAAACAGCATTTTATCACAGGAAACCGTTTCACTTATAACTGTAGCAAGAATAAGTTCAGCAGTTGGCTAGATTGTTTATTAGAACTACCAATGCGGAAAAGTTGTAAGGTTGAAGGAAGTGATGTCAGCCCACAGGGACCAAACGAGAAAATTCTTGAAAATCAAACTGTTATGATAGTCAATCATAATAGAACAATACACATATTATTCAGTTCTATGCCTTGCGTTTTTTAATTATTGTATCCATGATTGTGTAAATTATATCGTCTTCTTTATTTTTAAAATTAAGTTTGAATTATAGAAAGG